ATTATATTTCTGAGACTATATTGTTGAATATAAGGTATATGTACACATTCTTTTTTGTTAGCCGCCTCAGCCTCCCTCTTTGCTCTTCAGGCTCCAGGAACAACAGCAAGGAACTTCCAACACAACTCAGGGGAAATTGAGTCAATTAAAGACAATGTCCCACATCTTCGGTGAGTAGCAACTGGAGTCTTGAAAGCCTGTAAGCAGTCCTCTAAAGTACAACTATAGGCCTCACCTGGAACAAGGGAGTGGGAGAAAAGCAGAGATGCACAGATGCAACTCTTTCAAAGGCCTAATAGACTAACTACTTGAGCCTCAGCTTTCATGACCTTGGGACTGGAAAAAAACTAGATAGTGCCTGGTGGCCACTGTTACCCACATAAAAGAAATCACAGCAGAAGGTCCTGGACATAGCAAGTTAAAAACAGACAAAATAGATGGAAATTTTGCAAAACCAAAAGCAGTCCTGTTTACTGGTTCAATAGAGGCTGATGGAATCTCCAAGACTATAACCCCCTGTCTCCCCTCAAACCCGGAACAAAATTCATTCCTATAACTTAAGCTACAGTCAAACAATAGGAAGAACACTAACACCAGAGAGACACAGTCCTTGGGCTAATCAGTCATGGAAGACCCCAAAAGCAGCATTTACCTGGGGATAAAGAAAGCAGGAGTGGCATCCACTTCCGAAACAGCTTGCCTCTGGAAACTCTATGAATTTGGAGAAACAGTGAAAGGTATACAAGTGTTCAGGTAGTTCGTTCATAGAGTCACTATGAGTCATCTACAACTTGACAGCATTTAACAACAGCAACAACAAAGCTCAGAAGGCGGAAGAGGCAGTATAGAAGAATTTGTGGAAATGATCACAGAGCTGAAGTAGGAAGAGTGTGATCACATGTATGTACCATAATTCACATCATAAACCAAAAAGTGTATGAACAGTGAGTTAAAAACCAACTGGCTTTATAAATTCTAGCTCAAATCACAATATAAATAGATAAATTCTTACACAAAAAAATTAAAAGGCCATCCACTTAGATTAAATTGGTCGTTCAGCCTATTGGTTGGTCTGTAGCCAGGCCTCTCAGGTGTGGGTGGGGAGGGACAGCATCAGTTGAGCTCCCTGAGGGGGCCAGGGGGTGTCCTTGTGCCTGCCGCCCCCTCCTCTCAGCGGCTCTGAGGCACCCAGCCAACACTTCGTCCAGGTTCCCTCAGCTCATGAAAGAAGCAAGATCCAGAAAAGCTCCAAAGAGACCATGACCCGGCAGCAGTCAGCTATGGCCTGAACCCAAAGCCAACCTGGAATTTCAGAACTTCATATCCAGACATCTGAGCCTGAAACCAGGAGGGACAGAGACCTGTGGGCTGCAAGGTCACTGGCCAGCACAGCTGGGAAGACTTAAAGGAGAGGAGACTTGCTACTCCAACAGTACAGCGCCCTTCCCCCTGGTCTGGCCATGCGGGCCTTTGCACACTGTGTCAATGGGCAATTCGCCACACAGTCTCTATCCCTCAATAAGCAGCATTTGCTTTTATTTTTTTTAATTAATTTTAATGAAAGTTTACAGAGACTTTGGATTTCCATTCATTCATCGTTGCACTTTTCTCCCTGCCCAACTCCACCCCACCCCCCACCCAACTCGCTCTTCTCTTTAAAAGTAAAAGATAAATTCTTTCATTGTTATACAATCTCTCCCCCCAAGTCCACTCCACTAGTCAGCCCTCCTTTTGAAAAGTTAAAGGAAAATTCTTTCATTGTTACACAATCCCTCCCTCCAAGCCCACTCCACTATGCAGTCTTCATTCTGGACTCTTGTCATGACTGAGACACAGAGAGAGGAAGCAATGAAAGATCCCTGCTGAGGAGTCAGCCTCGGTGTGGAAGACCTGCACAGTGACTGCCCTGGGCACTCCCAGAGCAAACCCCGGAGATCAAGTCCCCAGGAAGGGAAGACATTTCCAGGCCTCAGAAACCACAGTCCTGGTGGGGCTTCTGAGTGAAATAGAGCAACAGAACACAGTTCCTCCCCTCTAACATATTTCATCTTGAGCCTGGGGAAGCTCCCAGCCCCACCTGGGCTCTGATGTGGGTTCAGACCCAGCCAGCTCCTAAAAGTTGATGTTCTTGAGGTCCATGGAGCAGCGGTACCTGCCGTCCAGGAACCTGGAGCAGAGCAGGTTGGGCGAGCAGGGACAGCTGTGGTGCTGGCGCTTTCTGAAGAAGGGTAACTGAAGAGAGAAGAAAACAACAGTATCACCAAAGGGAGGCCCATGTCCAGCCCAGCCCCAGGAAAGTGGTCCCCCACCACGACTGAGCGTCCCCACCAGGCCCACCAGTGACCTCATGAGGAATCTGAGGCACCAGATGGCTAGGCAGCATGTCAAGAACCCACAGCACCGGCCATCTGATTTATAAACTACAACCCCCTCATTCAACAGTCCTAAAATTCACAGCCCCAACAGTGACCCCGGATTCACCCAACATGCATATGCACACGTGTACACACACACACACACACTGTCCTTGATTGACTATCACACATAGCGTATTGTTCTGGATTGAATTGTGTCCTCCAAAAAGATACAGTTAAAGCCCTGGTACCTGTGTATGTGGCTTTGTTTGGAAATAGGGTCTTTGAAGTTGTCAATTAAGTTACGTTAAGTCATACTGACTCCAGTGGGTCCTAATCCACTACAAGTGATATCCTTATTACAGGGGAGAAATGACACAAAGTGAAGAAATGATATATGTGAAGACATATCTACAAAGAGCAAACACCAGGGGCAAAATAGTAGTGGAGAAACAAGGAAAGCTTTTCCCCAAAATAAAGTTTTTCTTCCTTACAACCATAATTGTTAAGTGCGGACAAGTTGACTACAACTCTATGAACAATAGCTGTGAACCCTACCTGCCCTAGCTTGAGCCAATCTCACTGTTTCCAATACATGTACCCCCATTACCCCAGTTACTATGTCAGTCCATCTCATCTAGGGTCTTCCTCTCTTGGGCTGACCCTCCACCCTTCCAAGCATAATGTCCCTCTCCAAAACTAGTCTCTCCTTGCAACATGCCCAAAGTACATGAAACAGAATTTTAAAATTCTTGCCTCCAAGAAGCAACCTGGTTGCAACCTTTCCGGGATAGACCTGTTTGTTCCCTTGGCAGCCCATGGTATGTTCAATACTCTTGTCCAGCGCTACAACTCAAAGGCATCAATTCTTTTTCAATCATCCTTACTCATTGTCCAGCTCTCTCATGTATAGCAAATAACTGCAAAACCCTTGGCCTGGCTCAGGTGGGCCTTAGTCTCTAGCTGATACAAGTGCTCTTCAGCACTCTGGAGAGATCTCTGACAACAAACTTTCTCAATGCCACTCATCTTTTGGTTTCCTGACTGCTAGGGCCAAGAGTGTTGATTGTGGATCGAACAAGCTGAAATTGTTAACAATCTCAATTTCTATCTCTCATGATACTGCCAAGTGAGAATCTTTGTTTTCCTTATGTTAAGCTGAAATCCATATTGTGGTTGTTGGTTTTGTTATGTGCCTGCCAGTTGCCTGTGACTTATATGGACAACAGCCCTAAACCCTGCTCTATCCCTTGCCAATCTTATTGTCTCTGACACTCCTATGCCCATTAACCCAGTGACAGAATCAATCCATCTCATCGAGGGTCTTCCTCTCCTATGCTGTCCCTCCATCCTCCCAAACATGATGTCCCTCTCCAAGGACTGATCCCACCTTTCAACATATCCAAAGTAGGGCAGATGAAGCTTCAGAATTCTTGCCTCTAAGGAGAAGCCTGGCTTCACCCCCTCTGGGACGAACTTGTTTGTTCTCCTAGCAGTCCATGTTATATTCAATACTCTTTTCCAGCTCCGCAGGTCAAAGGAATCAATTCTCCTTCTATCATCTCTAGTCATTGTCCAGCTTTCCGATGCATAGCAAGTAATTGCAAAGACCAAGGCCTGTATCAGGTACACTTTAAGACTGCAATCCTTGACCTTCTGCAGCAAGTGTTTCAGGTCCTCTTTAGTTTCCACAAGCAAGGTTTTGTCATCTGTATAACAGAAGCTATCTATGAGTTTTCTTCTAATTCTGATGCCACATTCCTCCTCATAAAGCCCTGCTTCCTGAATGATCTGTTCTGCATGTATATTGAAAGGGTAAGGTGATAGGATGCATCCCTGATGCACTCTCTTCCTGATTGTGAACCATACAGTATTTCCCCGCTCTGTTCTGAGAACTGCTTCCTGGTACAAATATAGGTTTCACATGAGCACAATCAAGCATTCTGTCATTTCCATTTTCCTCAACGTTAGCCACAATTTGTTGTGATCCAAAGTCAAATACATTTGTATAGTCAATGAAACACAGATAATCTCTGGTACTCTCTGCTTTTAGCCAAGATCCATCTGATGCTGGCTATGATGTCCCTAGTGCCATGGCCTCTTCTAAACCCAGCTTGTATTTCTAGTAGTTCTCTGTCAATGTACTGTTTCAGCCATTTTTGGGTAATCTTCAGCAGGATTTGGCTTGTACATAATACGCCAAAGTCCTGTAAGCCACACTTCATCCTCAGGGCTGTCGGGGGCTGTCGGAAGGGGGTTGTTGTTGTTGTTGTTGTTGTTGTTGTTGTTGTTGTTATGTGCCGTCGAGTTGCTTGAGACTCATAGTGACCCTATGTACAACAGCCCTAAACCCTGCTCTGTCCTGTGCCAATTGCACTGTCTCTGACACTCCCATCCTGATTACCCCAGTCACTGAATCAATCCACCTCATAGAGGGCCTTCCCCTCCTGCGCTGTCCCTCCATGCTCCCAAGCATGATGTCCTTCTCCAAGGACCGGCCTCTCCTTACAACATGTCCAAAGTATGTTAGACGGAGCCTCAGAATACTTGCCTCCAAGGAACCTCCTGGTTTAACCCTCTCCAAGATGAATCTGTTTGTTTTCCATGGTACATTCAATACTCTTCTCCAGCACCACAGCTCAAAGGCATCAATTCTCCCTCTGTCCTCCCTAGTCATTGTCCAACTCTCTGATGCATAACAAGTGATTGCAAAGACCATGGCCTGTATCAGGCGGACCTTAGTCTCCAGAGAGACACTATTGCTCTTGAGTACTTTGGAGAGGTCCCTAACAGCAGACTTTCCCATCGCAATACATCTTTTAATTTCCTGGCTACTGGTGCCAAGAGTGTTGGACTGAGGTAAAAAGCATTCCTTGCATAAAAAAGTGGGTGCTGAACAGCACCTCACTTACGTCACTCTTGCTTTAGCTCTAGAGGTGTCTTTTTTTATGTCTTTCCTGTTGACAAAGCAAAGTGTTTAAAAATCTGAGTTTGTCAGAGACCTTCCAGGTATAGATGAGGAGGATGAGTTCCTGAGCAGTTATGCTAATTGCCGAAGATCACACAGCAAAGAAAAGACAGAGCAGGCTCGGCTTGCAGGTCTAACAGCCCATGTGATTGGTACTCTCCTCTCCTACAATGTTCCCCAAAAAAGCCAGGAGTTAGCATCAGCACCACATGAGGTATTACCGGAGCTGACAGGGGAAAACTGCCTAGTTCTGTTCCACTCAGTGTGCCTTTAGCAAGTCACATGGCCTAGTCTCTTCACCCGTAAGGTGGGGACCAGATACCAACTGCCTGGGCTCAGACTGGTTCAGGAGTTCTCTGGCCTGCACTAGAAACCTATGCAGGGAAAAGGTCAGGTCCTCCACAGATACACTTTGGTGGGATGGTCTACAGCGAGTTGTGCTCCTAGCCCAAAGGGCAAGTGGTTCTGAAGGAGAGCTAGGCCCTCTCTTCCTATATGATTCACAGTCCCAGAAACCCAATGGAAGGTCGGCTCTGAGTCAGTTCTGACTTGACACCAATGGGGGAACAGTGGTTATTATGTGCTATTGAATCAGAACGAACTCATAGCTGACCGTCCAATAGATTTCCAGAACCCGTAAATTGCATGGAAGGAGATCATGTCCATCTTTCCCCGCTTGGAGCAACTGATGGATTTGAACCACATGCCTTTGGGTGGGCAGTATAACTCCTTACCCACTAAGTCACCAGAGTTCCAGTGAATGAGCATGAATATTCAAAGATAAAACCAAGCCAAGCTGGTTGTCATCAAGTTTATTCTCACTCATGGCGACCCTTTATGTGTTAAAGGAGAACTGTGTTCCATAAGGTTTTCAGAGGCTCGTTTTCATAAGCAGCTCACCAGGCCTTCCTTCCAGGGCACCTCTGGGTGGACTCTAACTGCTAACTTCTTACTTAACAGGGACGACCCAGGGTCTCCGTACAAATATTCCAAACCCAGTCCACTGTTCCCACACCACCTTAGATCCACAGTCTCCCTGGGCCAGCCCTGAACTGAGATGAGCTCTCCCGTGGACCCACACTGTCTGCTCACCCCTCATCTCAGCCCATGCTGTACACACCCACATGACGTCCCATACGGTACCTTGTGGCTGCCCGGGTGGCACTGTTCTCCTTCCTGCCCCAGCGGGGTGCACATGCGTAGCCCACGTAGCCACAGGCTGACAGCACAGCAGGTCCCTGCCCTGCACTGGACATCCCGCTCACAGGCCTGCAGGAGGGAGACCAAGGAGCCCGCTCGTTAGTGCCACCAGACACTAGTGAGAGACCAGAGAGAAGGGGTCCTATTGGGGAAGGGAGGAAAGAAAAACAGAGGGCTGTGCATTGCTTTTTGTGCTGTGGCCCCTGCACCCCAGGATGGACACTTGGGACTCAATGAGACACCACACTTAGATCCGAGGAACCCTCCAAGTTCATTGAGGCCACGCCATAAGAAGACTAACCCCTCTGTCTGACAAGATCAGAAGTTTGGAGTCATGGTGTTTTGAGGTCTAAAATACCAGCACTTGAAATTAACTAGAATCCTTAGAGTGGGAAGAAGGACTGAGTCTCTGGTGGTCAGTGCTGAGAAGGCTTGGACCAGAACCCTCCAATCCTGACTCAGCACCCCTAGCTGCCCTGCCCGCCTTGGTGCCCCTCCAGCCCAGTGACCAGTGTCTTCCCTCCTGCTTCTCTGCTGGACTCCCTGGTCCCCAGTTAGTTTGGCCCTCTTTGAGCTGAACTCACAGAACAGGGGCTGCAAGGGTGGACCAGTTTCTTGAAGCTGTCATTTGTCATTTTTTGGGGAGGGGGGCAAGTTATATAACCCTCTTTAAACAAAAGCTTGGATTGGGGCAAACACAGCTTTGAGCTGCTCCAGGCACAAACGGAATATAATGAAGATGAACCCAAATTTTCATTCCCAGAGAAGCTTTGTGGCTCTTCCGGGCTGGAATTTGGAGCTGTTTGTTAGCTCTTCTTCCTTCCCTGGAAGGGAGCTCTGGTGGCACAGTCCACAGGGAATCATGCTGCTAATCCAAAGTGGTGCCTCTCTGGAGGTTCGAATCCACCAGACATTTTGCAAAAAGAAAGATGAGAAATCTCCTGCACAATTTACAGCCTCAGAAAACCCTCTAGAGAGTCAACTATGAGTCTGTTCCAGCTCCACAGCCCTGAGTTCAGGTGCTGCGTTCCAGGGGAAGGCTAAGGAGCACCCTGTACAGGACAGGGGAGGAGCTGAGGCTTCCCACTCACTCAGCCCCAAGGAAAAAAGTCAGGAAGGCCAGGGGGCCAGTATCCCAGATGAGGGGCAGGTGCCAGTCTCCAGGCCATGCCCAGGTGATAGCAGGTCTCCCACACCCACCAGTTCCCTCCTCCACCCCAACCCTCAGAGCTCAAAGTTAGGGGAAAGCCCTCCCTACTTGACTCTTCTCCTCCCACTGGGAAGGGTGCTGAGGTCCCCAGGGAGAGAAGCCATCAGAGTCCTCATTGTGGAGATGGTAGAATCTAGGCTGTACCTGGGGCAGATGCGGGCTATCATCCTGGCTAGGCAGAGAGACACAAGGGCTAGAGAGGCGGGGTCCTGGCTGTGCTTCACCCCATTTGACATCCTGTTGGATTTAGCTCTCTTCTGTGTCTGTGCCACGAAGAATGTCCTATGATGGTATTCTCCCAGTTCCCTCCTACCTACCTGCCTCTCTGGGCGAACCCTGTGCTCAGATGCCTCAGGCTAACCTGGCTTGTTCCCAGCATCTTTCACTCTGGGGAACCACGGCTTTGATCCTCTGTCCTGGCCCTCTCCATTCTCCAGCTACACAATGGGAACACAGCCCTCTCTGGTTTATATTCATCAGGGATAATCTGTCCTAACAGTTTTATTCATGCCTTGGGCTTCAGAAGTATTGACTTTAATATTCATTCTTTTGAACTCTGGTCTTTTTTCTTTAAAGAAAAAGAAAGAAGTGTTTCTTTTTGCAAACATTAAAACTAATCCAATTCTAGGAACTGTTTGGCATTTCTCTGCTTTTCCATTTTTGGTGTAAGAGGTGGGGGAGGTTTCGATGAAAGCTTACTTCCTTGCTGTAGGGGGTATTCCTCCCTGCAGGCTTCAATCTGGGATGCCCACAAGTAGAATGGCACTTTCTGTTTTCATCCAAAAAGTTCCACTGTGGTGGTATATATACACATATAGAGAGAGAGAGAGAGAGATAGAGATAGATAGATAGAGATAGATAGATAGATAGATAGATAGATAGATAGATAGATAGATAGATAGATAGAGAGACAGAGAGAGTCCTGATAGAGAATGTTTCTAGGTTTGAACCAAACTTCTGGGGAAAACCCAAAATCCGTGTTTTTGAAACTCTAGGCTTGAATTTCTGCTTATTTTCTGGGTGTTCGTGTGGGGGTACACTCAACTGATGTTGCTGTCTCTTGTATTCCTCTTAGATTGGCACAGAGTGAAAACACAGCAACAACAAAGCAAAGAATGAGTTCCAAAATTGTCTTTCTTAAGAGCAGAGAAAGCAGAGGTTATACTTAAACAATAGATGTTAACAAGCATACCCGCCTGTAATTAAGGCAATGTGCTATGTAAATAAAACAGACTAGACTGTGAAAAAAATCCAATATTCACATAAAAGAGAAATTAAACACATAAAAAAATTCCCATTGCTGCTTCCAAGTCAATTCCCACACATAATAACAACCCCACGGGACCCAGAAGGGCCGCTGCATTGCATCTCCACGGCTGAGAATCGACATGGAAGCGGACGGTCTCATCTCTCCAAGCAGATGTTGGGTTTGAACAGTTCACCTTTTGATTAGTAGCCAATTGCTGAATCACCAGAGATCCTTAAAAGATCAGTTAGGGTATGCTAATTCACTTTATAGAGGAATTTCTTACGCCCCAACAGCAATCTTCCTTTAAGCAAGAACTGAGGTTCAGACCTCTCCATTCTCTCCCTAATGCATTTCAAACGGGATTTGATTTACACACTATTTCTCTAGGACAGTGTGGTCCAGCTAGTCTGTGAAATCCTCTTTCCTACAGTGTCGTGTGACAGCTAACTTCCTGGCACCTCTGTGGGTTAGTGTCCAGCAAAGGGAGCTTCATCCTGTGTTCACGTCCCAGTCAATCCAGAAACCCAGAGGTCAGAGGGTGTGGGACGACTTACCCCGGTGATCACCGCACAGTCAGATAAAGTTCGGAGGAGGAGCAGCGTGACTGAGACGCGCACAGCCGCCCTCATGGTCCCAGCGGAAGGCGAACTGGCTGCTCTGATGCCTCTCTCTGACTCCTGCTCCCTCAGCCCCGGGCCTGCCAAGCGGGAAGGCCGGCGCTCCAGCACCCTCCCGCCTCCCAGATTTATACTGCTCTTCCCTTCCCATCCTCGCTGCTATTCACGTGAGTTCAGAACCCCAGATGAGACCTGAGTCTCTCAAGGCATCAACCCACTATCAAAACCAATACAAATGAAGACGTCAGATGCTTGAATCAGTTGCGCTAAGTCTCCCAAGAAGACAGTGATTCTGTGCATTATTTTCACTCGATACTGTTCCTCCAGGCCTCCCCCTATTTGCTTGGAGCAGGAAGAGGGCTTTGGTAAGGAATTAAAGAATTTACAACATCATCATTTACCCTTCCCCACATCAAAGCAGGTAACATACTGGGTGATTGGTTTGGGCTTCCCTAAGATAACAAGTATTATCTGGGTCCTCAGGGTAAAGTCCCATGGGCTTAGGGCCTAGGGGGACACAGCCAGGAAAGCAGCTCATATGACCAGGAAGCTAGCATTCCCCTGGGAGATACAGACAGTGAGAAAGCCAGGCAGGCTTGATGGCTCTATGCTCCTGGGTGGTAGAGGTAAGGAACTGTCGTGTGACAGGCTTGAGACAAACACCAGGGTTTTTGTGGTATAGGATCCAAAGGGCAGAAGACCAGCAAGCCTGTGTTCTCTCAGCATCCTGCAGAGACACACGTTCAGGCTGGGGTACAGTTAGAGGTCCCAGAAGCCACTCGCTGGCTTCCTTCTTTCTGGGGCGAATATGAGAGTGACCTCATCTGTGAATGGACAAGCCTTGGACTCAGAGGCCCACCTCATGGGATGTTGAACGTGGGCATAGTGCCTCCTGCTGGGCTGGCAGGACCCTGGCCCCAGCTCTCAGAATGAGACTATAGAGAAGAATGGGGAGTGTTGGGGTGTGTTGGTTAGGTGCTGCTGAATCAGTTTGACTCACGTTGCCCCTACGTGACAGGTGGCATCGTCTGTAAGGTTTTCTGGGCTGTAACCTTTATAGGAGCAGAGCTTCAGGGGGGTTTCCCCACAGAGCTCCAGGTGGGCTAGTAGTCAAACACTTAATCATTGTGCTAACAGGGCTCCTTAGTGAAGAATTAACTACAAAGAAAGATAGAACACTAAGAAAGACCAGAGAACTGATGCCTTTGCACTGTGGTGTTGGAGAAGAAAGGTGAATATACCATGAAATGTCTGAAAAAGAAATCTATCTGCAGCCTCCAATATGGACTGAGGCTCAATACCATGAAATGTCTGAAAAAGAAATCTATCTGCAGCCTCCAATATGGACTGAGGCTCAATGTCAAGAAGACAAAGATTCTCACCACTGGACCAATTGGCAGCATCAGGATGGATGGTGAAGAGATTGAGATTGTACACAGCTTTAGTTTGCTTGGCTCCATAGTCAACAGTCTTGGCACCAGCAGCCAGGAAATTAAAAGGCGCATTGCCATGGGAAAGTCTGCTGTTAGGGACCTCTCCAAAGTACTGAAGAGCAGTCTCTCTGGAGACTAAGGTGCGTCTGATACAGGCCATAGTCTTCGCAATCACTTGTTATGCATCAGAGAGTTGGACAATGACCAAGGAGGATAGAAGGAGAATTGATGCCTTTGAGCTGTGGTGCTGGAGAAGAGTATTGAGAATGCCATGGACTGCTAGGAAAACAAACAGATTTGTCCTGGAAAGGGTTAAACCAGGTGGTTCCTTGGAGGCAAGGATTCTGAGGCTCCGTCTAACATACTTTGGACATGTTGTGAGGAGAGACGGGTCCTTAGAGAGGGACATCATGCTTGGGAGGGTGGAGGGACGGCGCAGGAGAGGAAGGCCCTCTATGAGGTGGATTGATTCAGTGACTGGGATAATCGGGATGGGAGTGTCAGAGACAGTGCAATTGACACAGGACAGAGCAGAGTTTAGGGTTGTTGTACATAGGGTCGCTATGAGTCACAAGCGACTCGACGGCACATAACAACAACAACATCTTGGACGAAGTGCAGCGCGAATGTTCCTCAGAAGTGAAGGTGGTGAAACTTTACCTCATTAATCAGAAGGTGATTAATCAGTACCTGGAGATGGGCATCATGCCCGGTAAGAAAAAGGGTCAGTGAAAGAGAAGAAGGCCCTCAATGAGAGGGATTGGTACAGTGGCTGCCACCAAGGGTTCAAATGTCACGGTGATTGTGTGGTTGCTGCAGGATCAGGCTATATATTTCCTCTGCATATTTCCTTCTATAGTATGTGAAGTTACTCTGAGTTGGAACCAGCCAGAGGGTACTTGATAAACAGGGTTAGAGCCTTTTGCCCTTGGCTGCCAGGAGGTGTCTCCAGGACCTCGGGATGCCCTGCCTGGCAGAGCTGTCTGTTTGCCTGGGGACTTTGGACTCAAGTCTAGTGGTGTGATTTATGATGGGGACTTTGGATCTACTTCCAGAAGAGACGGGAGACAGAAGGTATCAGCCTCATCTCCTGAGAAGCAGAGATGAAAAGGTCAGTCACGCAGATAGGATGTGCTGGAGCTCCCATAAACACTGCACTCCTGAGGCTGGGGTGAGCTCCACATGCCAGGGCTCTGTGCACTGTTACATATGGCAGCCAGGAGAAGGTAACACCATTCGTGACTCCTCCACAGCACAAGCAGAAACATCATGCTTGGACCCCCTCCCAGACTTCTCCGACTGACTTTAACCAGTGCCCTTTCCCCAGCAATAAACCAAAGCCATAAGCTTTGAGTGAATTCTGTGAGTCCTTCTGATGAATTACCAAAGCCAAAAGTGGTTTGAGGACCGACTCCCCCAAAACTTGCACTTGGTGTCATAATGAGGGGACCACATGTGGCCATGCATACCCTCTAAACCTGGAAGCTGGCTCTCACACAGATAACCCAGAGACAGGTTCAAGGCTCTGACAATCCAGCTGTAAAAGCTAAAATTCCCAGTAGCATCTTTTGCAGTGTGTTGATGAAACTACCAAAAAAAAAAAAAAAAGGAGCTGTTCACCTTCTATCAGAGCCGCCCTATGACAGGACCCTGAGAACAAAAGCCTGTCTTAAGAAACTACCTGTAAGCATTTAAATCACATAGAAAGGAGATGCTGCAGCTTATGTTGTTTCTAAACATTCATCCGTGGCAGTCTGGCATCACTGCTGAGTGTCTCATGTAACTAGGGTTCCAATATAAAAATGTTCACAGGCTTTTATGAGTTGTTGTTGTTGTTGTTGTTGTTATGTGCCATCGAGTCGCTTGTGACCCATAGCGACCCTGTGTACAAGAGCTCTAAATGCTGTTCTATCCTGTGCCAACCTAGCCATCTCAGATGCACTTATTCCCACCGCTCCAGTCACACAATCGATCCATCTCACCAAAGGTATTCCTCTCCTTCGCCACCCCTCCACTCTGCCAAACATGAGGTCCTTCTCCAAGGACCAGTCCCTCCTTGCAACATGCCCAAAGTATGTCAGACGAAGCTTCAGAATCCTTGACTC